CTCTCTCTCTCTCTCTCTCTCTCTCTCTCTCAGGACGCGTCGGATGATCCGGGGCCGCCGGGGAAGGGCTCCGGGCAGCAGCAGGGAGGCTGCGTCCTTCCTCCTAGTCCCGGGCTGCAAAAAGGCGGCTGGCCTCGGCGGTGGTTGTTGTATTAAAATGAGGAGGAGGAAGAAGAAGCCGCGGCAGCGGCAGCAAGCGCTAGCGGAGAGGAGGCTCTGAGCAGGGGACGGCGGCGGCGGCGGCAGCAGCAGGAGGAGGAGGAGGAGTGATGAGTCAACTAATAATTTAATGGGGACAGAAACACGGGGGGTGGGGGAGAGAGCGAGGAAAGCGAAGCAGCTCCGTCCGGGGACACACACACACACATACACACACACACATCCATGTAACATCCAGCCACAGCCGCCAAATCGGCCTAAATAAATAGCCAGGCAGCCAAGGGGAAACAAGCCTCAAAGCCAGGATTTGTTTTTTGTTTTTCTTTGCAACCTTTGTTTTTCCTTTGCCATTTGCAGTAACTCTCCGTGGAGTTGTCTGTTTTTAACACTCTTTTTTATTTTTATTTTTAAATCTCTCTGTCTCTCTCTCTCTCTCACACACCCGTGGTGGACTCGGTGGGAGTGAAATCTCTCTACTTTTGGTGATAGTGGTGTCTTGTGTGCGCGTTTCCTTCCTCCTCCTCTTTCTCTTTCTCACAACAGCCCCGGGTACATAAGAAATCTCTCTGTCTCTCTCTCTCTCTCTCTCTCTCTCTTTTTGTTTTGTTTTGTTTTGTTTTGTTTTCTTTTAACAGTCCGGGAAGACGAATTTAAAAGTGGCATTTTGGTGCCTTTTCCTGCTGTTATGTCTACAGTACCCCTAAGCCCCTATTACAGATTCATGCAGAAAGTTTAGGGGCTGTTAGTGGTTTTGGGGGAGAGGAGCAGATTGATTTTTGTGTGCGCTGTTCTTCCGTATGCTTGTTGGAGAATAATAGTGTGACAGCCTAGAAGTAGACTTTCTACTCTTCATTCTGGTTAGGAAAGCTTCCTCTCCTCCCACCCCCACTTGCTCTTGTCCGCATTGATGAAATTTTTGAAAGGATAGGTAGTCTCAAGTCAGCCCCCCTCTATTTAAATATTTATTTTTTTAATTTTAGCGTTACACTTACCTGTTTAATTTTTATCTTCACTGACTTCTTCACTTTCCAAACCCTGAAAACTCTGTTCTCTTCAACATATTAAATATTTTTGGCCATTACCATTTTGCTCATGGCTACTTTGCTTCTTGCTATTTATTTTTGTTTCTCCCCTGTATAGAGGAAAATAACAAAATAAAGGGGGGGAGCATAGTAGAATTTGTGGGGAAGTAGCTTTAAGGACTGGTGGCTTTTTGTTCTTTGGGGTGTGTGTGTGTGTGTGTGCGTGCATTTTTTTAAAGGATCTAGACAACATCAGTCTTGAACTTCTTCCTCTTCAAGAGCTCGGGCTGCAAAGGAAACCTCCTTTGTTTTTGTTTTTTATATGCTGTCAAGTTTTGAAGTGGTGAGTTTCGGGTTGGTTTTGCTAATTTCACTCAGAAAACTGCAGTGTTTCTGTTTCTAGATAGTACTTTGCTTCTTTGTCTCTTTAAAAGGTCACAGTGAAAGCTTGGCCTGGATTGTGACAGATATATGGAATGGATAAGAACAGAGCCTGCTTTAAATGTGATTATGGGGTTTTATTGGGGAGAGGGAAGAGGAGGGCTGATGAAAAGGGGAGGGGGCTAATACATGAGGAGTTAAAGAAATAAAGTAATGGTGACTCCTTGTTTCTGGAATAGGAATTATTATAATGAATTCATTCATAAATTAGTTGATGAGTGTCTGCCCCGTGATCTTTTAGAAACTATATGTCGAAACTGTGATTTTATATAATGTCTGAGAGGGAAACTTGTAGCTAATGTTAATGTAAAGGAAGTCTAAATATGAAACCTGAATAAACTCTCTGCCTGCCATCTGTAGAGATAATGGTTACTAGTGCTGTCATTTTGGCCAGGCCATGCTGATTGTTGCTCATCACTATTCCAAACTGAGATTTCAGTGAACTTTAGCCTTGGGCATGGAGTTTAAATGAGTAAATTAGGTATTTTATGTGCATGTAATTTTTCTTTGTAATTTAAAGCTTTTTACAAGATGACTAAGTGGTTAAATTAAGCCTATGGGTGGGTATTCTAAGGCCAAATTGGAATGACCTATTTGGTGTCTTGGTAGCAGTCAATACACTAATTAAATTATGATCTATCATTTTTATTCACTGTATATGATGTAGTACTACTCTGCTGATGATGACTGAATCCTTTTTTTGGGGTTGTGGTCTGCTTTTTAAGTTGCTAGAAGTGACAGGGATTTTCTTCTGTAAGGGTTTAAGTGAATCCTCTTATTCTCAAGAAAGACTAGTTTCAGAACAGCAACCTTATAGTAAAGCAGTATTGTAAGGAAACATAGGTAGATGTCCATAATTTGAAGTCTGCCCTTTTTGGTTAGACTGCAGTTAATGAAATGATAGAGTAATCTTAATTTTAAAAAGTGGATAAAATAGGCACATTTATTGTTTAATGAGACTCCTAACCAAAAACAGATGGGACCACGATATATGGTAAACCTTTAGTACTTAGCATGTCACCCTACAGCATAAGAATAAATAACATTTTCTAAACTTTACAGTTATTCAATCAGCATTCTTAAGGTTGCAAGTAAACATCCAGTTTGAGTTTTGGTTTCTGTTTTTTGGGGGGAGAACTGGAGGTTAGTAGGACAAATCAGTCTGTGTTCAAACACGATGGAATTGTTTACAGAATTATCATTGGAATATATGGTGTCTCCCAAGAAATCCAGACCTAAATGGCTTTGCAATGAAAAATGTACAAAATGTGTTGAATTACTAGGCAACTGAAAGAAAGTAGCAATTATCAGATTCATGCAAGTCTTTCTAAATATGACTCCCCTAGTATTAGTGTTTGTACTCAGTAATGTAAATACTAGTTCATAAAATGAATGTGTAGTCACCTGTTCTTTGTGATTACATTATCTATATAATGTAATTGACAGTGTGACCATAGCTTTCTCAGTCAGCAAAAAGATCTTAAATAACTATGATATTAATCCAGAATAAAATCACTGCCACATAAGTATCTGTTTTCAGTAACCAATTGTTTTATAGTGATAAAATAAATTTGTGTGTGTGTGGTGTGTGGTGTGTGTGCGTGTGTGTGTCTAAAATCACTAAAGCTTACTCTGGGTCTTACACTAGGGATTTTAATGATCCAGTCATTTAGCTGAAATGTGTATTTTTTTTCTTCAAGTTTTTAGAAGAGAAATAAGAACATGCTAAAATACCCATTTTAAATTGATGATATAAAAATTCTCTTCTTTTTATTAAACTTTGAATATCTGTATCCGCACAACTTTTGCATTGGCAAAGGTGTCTCTGTGTTGGAGGGTTTTTGAAAGAGTTCCACAGGAATTGGTGGTCTTTCGGCATGTGATATTTGAGAGTTGTTTACACCTCCTCTGTTTTGTTTTGAATTTTAGAAGACCCCATATATGACCTAATATTTAAAACTTGATTATCTTTAAAATTTTTATCTGCATATTTTAAGTTTTCAAAAGTTGATAAATCATAATATAAAACAGCTTGGAAGAATGCAGAAAACAAAACCCAACCTGATCAAAATTATAAGGTAATTAAGATTGTATTTCTAGGGAGAAGATGTACATTTACAGTATTTCATGTTGCTAATAAATCTGTTGCATGGTTACCTAAAGTTTCAGTCTTCTTTTCATTGTTGTACTTGCATTTATTTGCTAACAGAGAGAAAGCACTTCATAGTGGTTTTTTTTAAACAAATGCTTCCATGGTTTACAACAAAACTTGTGAGGTTTGTAGCCAGAGGACAGATTGGACTCTATAACTTGGTAACTACCTCCACCTATTTAATTCTCCTTAGTAATTCAAATTACTACCTAGGTTACATAGTTGTGTTAGTATTCTGAGGGTGACATTCAATATATTTTTACCAAATCATTCAGTCTTTGGAGAATGGGAACATTATCTGAGGATAAAGTCAATATTCTTTAAAGCCATCTTATGTCTTCTTTTAAAATATTAATTTACTTCTCATGGCTGAGCTTACCATACATATGTATCTCTGTGCATGTGTTAACTGTCTACACACACGCACACGTGTACAACATGTGTATATATACATTTTTTTTTAAATCATGGCAGGTGATCTTTAGAGGCGGGACTGAGTATGGATCATTTGAACGAGGCAACTCAGGGGAAAGAACATTCAGAAATGTCTAACAATATAAGCGATCCAAAGGGTCCACCAGCCAAAATTGCGCGTTTGGAACAGAATGGGAGCCCGTTAGGAAGAGGAAGACTTGGAAGTACAGGAACTAAAATGCAAGGAGTGCCTTTAAAACACTCTGGACACCTGATGAAAACAAATATTAGAAAAGGTAACATTTTTAATAATTCTGCATCAGATAAATATTAAATTTATTAATAGATTCATTGCCATTTAGGTGTGGAAACATACTATTCACAAATGTTATTTACATTTCAGTGCCGAATCACAATTCTAAAAATATTTTATTCCTAGTTCTGATGTAAATCACATTTGGGAAATGTAAGCTTCATGTTTGGGTGGAGCATCTTGATTCCCAGGGTGGAGTCTTATTTTTGTTGAGGTCTTAAGATTAGTTGCCCTCATTCTACCAAATTCAGTTAATATAATAAACTGAATTCTACCAAGGACAGTTAATATAATAAACTCTAGTGCGTTTGTTCTGTTAATCAGCACTGGAATAAATAAATAAAATGCACAGAATTCCCAAAACCCAATTCTTGCCTTTGCTCTTAATGATAGTCCAAAGCTTGGAACGGTCAATTGTATTTCATTAACAGTTGCAAGTTGTTTAAAGAAGAGAGTTTAAATCACTAGGTATCACACTGGAAAAGTAATTTATGATGTCAATCTTTAGTTTATTTTCTTAAGTACAATTCATTATTGACAATGAACATCTTGGGTGTCATATTTTTCAGTGGTTGGTTTGCTGTAATTAGACATTCTCACAAGGAAAAGGCATGTTTAGAATCATTGATTGGTGTGTGTGTGTGTGTGTGTGGCTTTTGTTGGTATTAAAATACTTCAGAATTCTGCATAATATATTAATCTTCTATATCAAAACATCTTTTGACTTTATACTACAGATTTGCTAATTTAAATTAAAACATGCTGTATGTGATTTGGCATTTGTTTAAAAATGACCTCTACTTTTTCTCAGTATAATTACTATATGTTTATAATTCAGATTTTTCTTGTATTTGCTAAGCAAAGTGTAAAATGCAGCCAAGACCATTAAACACATAAAGTTAGAAGACAGTGGAATTTCATTGTGTCTGATGCATAACATTTATCATACAATCATTTATTTTTTCCTCGGTTTGGCGAAAACAAAGAATATATTGATCCCGAAATGAACAGACACAGCAGTCCGTATTGTTAGATCTTTATCTATTAAAAATGGAAAAACAGCACTTCAGCAAATTCTTTGGCCTCTGCTCATGATTACCCTATTTATTGATTGTTTGCCAAGAATGTATGCATCTTAAGAAAGCCAGGGTAAGAGCATTAAAAATATAATTTATTATGGCTTTCCAAACAGAGTGCATTAATATTGTACTGTGAAGCACTGGGGCTATATAAAAAGGACTTTCTGACGCCTGCAAACATATAAGTTCCATAAATTCCTAAATAGGAGATTTCAGCTGTCTCTGGTATTATGTGATATTTGCACAGCAAACTTTAATGCCAGGACAGTTTTAGACAAGGATTCTACAGACTTCACTACTCCTTATGGCAGACGTGCTGTTTACACAGACTCATAAACCTTCAGCAAAAGCTCTAACACTGCCTTCATGTTTAAATCATGTTATATTTTTAGCACTGACCAGTGCTCTCCCCTTTAATACTAGAAGGTTATAAAGTTGCTGTACTTGAATGTCTTGCCAAAAAATAGCAAGAGTGATCAGCCAGCTAAGATTGTACTCTTCTGCGTAGCGTTTTTCACATTAGCAGAAGGACATTAGTAATAGTTGCTAGAAGGTTTAACAGTTTGATTTGTAATCAGATGATACCTGTTTCACACCTCCAGGATATACCTTTTGATATCTATAATTTAATTCAAAATCTGGTCAAGTGGTCCTATCATGGTTTACAGTAGTACATTTTTAGAAGCGCTGCAACTTATGGGACAACATTTGTACATACAATGAAATATCAGTGCATATGTATTTATTGTAATAGTTCTACAAAAATTAGACTACAGGAGGTAGGGGAAAGAGGGAAAATGAAGAAACCAAATACAGTATTTCACTCCCTGCCTTTTGTTGGTTTTTGAAACAATATTATGTATTTCATATGCAAAATTTACATCAGGCTTTATTTTCCTCTAGGTATTTAACAGTGATCGTTTTTGTCAGGTAGTGATAGGTCAAAACTTGAACTGTGAGAGAGAGAAAAGACAAACTCCCAAGTGAAGTTTGTGTTTGTGTGTGTGTGGTTTTTGTTTTTGTTTTTATATTTTTGGATATCTCGACAAAGCTCAGTTAAAACCAATGAAGAAACTGTCAGTTTACATTTACATGTGCTATTTTTTTTATCTTGTCTTCCTGACTTGTCTTATTCTGTCATTTAACTACAAAAACAGAACCCCCTCCATGCAACTCTGTATCTCTCCCTCCACCCCTCCAACTGCATAAATGTTGGCAAGCATTTAGTCTTGTCTTTCATGCTGAGCCTATTGGACAAACCGGGCTGAGTGTGTGAGCTTTTCCAAATGAGCCTGAAGGGATTTGTTTCCCAGAGACTGACTCTCTGGTGAGCAGCTTATTGTAGATGTAGTTTAAATATATATATGCTCAAAAGGAATCTTTTAAATTTAATCTTTTGTTACAAGCAGGAGTACAGATGAACAAAGGGGGTTTTAAAGCATATATTATCAGCAATAAATTAGTTTTTCAACTGTAGTATCTTTTCTGCACCTTTGCAGGTTAGAAAGCCAGCTGACATGGTCCAGCCATGGATGTTTAATTGCAGTGTAGACGTACTCTAAGTCTAGAGGGCAGTGCTGCAGAGGCATTAACATTGCAGGACTAATTGGAGATCCTGGGTGCCCTGTTAAAGTAACCCTTGTCATCATTTATACTAAAAATGATACCCCTCTGGCAATCTGCCATAAGCTAGTTCTTCTGCATCTGCTTTTTAACCATTTTGCTTCCTCTCATTAAGGATCCTGATTCTGCATGTCACAAGCCAAAAGGTGTTTTGCTATTATGCGATATCACCAAAGCCAAGCTGGGGGCTGCAGTTCAAAGGTCTTTTTGTAGTACCCTGCTTTTTTGTATAAAATGAATACAATTTTAAAGAAATCCAGAATTCTCATGTCCAGAAGACTGCTTCTTCCCAGCAGTATGTGTTTCTGGGCTCTTCCCAGCAGTATAATCTTCTGGTCATGGTGTAGAAGATTGCACTGAATTAAGCAAAAGGTGTGCAGGAAACATTTAACTTCAAGTACTAAAACAATTTTTTTTTTTAGTAATAAAAACAAGAAAATGACTTTTGGCTATATAAATCCTATCTATAATAAAACTAGAATTATATGGCCTGAAACAGCAAAATACATGTTCCAAAAATGTATTAACTGCTAGTAAATTTGAAACGGGATTAAAATGATTGTTGTTTCTTAAAAATACAAGTATTGGAATTGCAGTTTAGTAGTGATCTGGTTACACCCAGACTCTGAATGCTGCATCAATTAGCAGTAAGTTTTGCTTTGTTTCCTGATACAATTTTTTAGCATGGAGGTTTGACAAAAGACAAAGGTGACATTTTTAAAACCAGTGTAATTAAATATTTTGGCACAATTAGAAAAGTTTTACCATTAATGGACAAAATTATGTAAATGCCAATAGGATGGCTTACTCTGAAGACCTCTGCAGTATGTATTTAGGTTCTCACGCTGCATTCTACTCACAACAAATCAGACAGGACAGAGACAAACAACTTATTTTTTTCCCTGTCAGCCTTATTATTTATTTCTGCAGGCAGGTAATTGTGTTCAGTAGCAAATCAAGTAGTGGTAGGGCTATATTTGTATTAATACTTTCTATGGAAATAATATTTATTTTAGAGTACTTTCTTTGGGGGGGAGGGGAATGATGTTTTTCCCAAATACAGGATACCCCTAGACATTCGTTTGTAAGTTTGCAAGGCTTTTAGTCATGTAGCACTAGATTTCTTCCTTACCCCTACAATAATACCAGTTAATATTGTATATTTTACCTTTTTAAATAGGAACTATGCTTCCAGTTTTTTGTGTAGTGGAACATTATGAAAATTCCATTGAGTATGACTGTAAGGAGGAGCATGCAGAATTTGTGTTGGTAAGGAAGGACATGCTATTCAACCAACTGATTGAAATGGCATTGCTATCACTTGGATATTCTCATAGCTCTGCTGCCCAAGCAAAAGGTAAATATGATTACTACACTGTACTGTTTATTTTATGGGGAAAATATAGGGTTTTTTTTCAGCGATGCAGTGTAATCATTGTTTTATTCCTTGTAGATCGTCTCTCTCAAATTTTTGCTTAATGTATTTTTATTTAGTTAACATATGTTTTGCTCATGGAATGTTGAGGTAGATTATAATTTTTAAAAAATGACTTCAACTGAATCATTAGTATGCTTATTGACCTTAATAATCTGCTCCACTGAGAATCCACAAGGAAGTGTAAAGCATATTTGAGCAGATGGACTGTTGAGAGTCAACTTGCATTTATGACTAAATATCTAGCTCTGTTTCTTTTATTCTGTTACTGATGGGTTTTGTGAATTGTGAGGTATTTTTCAGCACTGAGATTTTCCATTTATAAAATCCTATATAATGTGTATGAAGACTGCCTCATTGAACTGTCAGAAACTTAATTAAAAGTGGTTCTACACATTTAGTTTTGTTTGGAAGATATTTTAAATAATTTTCTATATTACATTTATATAATTTCATAGCATGAAGATATAACTTGCAATTTATTTGTGCTTGTCTTGAAATAAATGAGCGTGGCTCTGCTTAAAATCACAGGTATTGTTTAAAGTTTGATAAAGTACATTTATTTAAATAATTTACTTTCTCTGTCTGGCACAGGGCTAATCCAGGTTGGAAAGTGGAATCCAGTTCCACTCTCCTATGTGACAGATGCCCCTGATGCTACAGTAGCAGATATGCTGCAAGATGTATATCATGTGGTCACACTGAAAATCCAGTTACACAGGTGAGTCACACACATGCCAGTCCTTGGACATGGACAACTATTTGTCTACTGTTACAGTTAGTAATATCACTTGTTTTTGATTCCCACTGTGCTGTGTGCTTAAAGTTCAAAGGCTTATCTACATTCCTTTTAGTCACTATAATTTTGTTACAATATATTGCTCTGGAAAACTTTTAAGTATATAGCTCTGAAACATAGATTTTTCTCTGCATATCTCATTAAAAGTATATTACATTTTAGTCAATTAAATGATGCATTACAAGAAGGCATTTTACATAAAGTTTACTTAAGAGAAAAATATTTTTGCATATCATGAACAGTACCATCTGTGCATTTTGTAAAAGAGTGACTTACTCACACTTATTGTTACTGTCTAGGTTCTTAAATTTCACAATAACAAAAAAGAAAAAAATGGTTAATATATTAATGCTTTTCATGATCAGTTGTGAGAAAGCATTACACCTTAAATTGTTTTACCAAGCGCATCAGAGCAGGAAGGTAGAAGTAACATGAAAAAATAGTCGCCACATGCAGCTGATGTATAATTCATGCATCAATACAGCAGATGTGTTGTATAAAGTAATTAACTAATCGGAACAATCAGGAGACCGAGAGCAATCTCCAGATGCATCTGCTTGATGCGCAAAATGAAATCTGTCTGTCTTAAAGGAATGTTCTGCAGCAGGATGCAATCTTGTAATAATCCCTTTTCTAATCTATGTCTCAAATAGTTGCCCTAAACTAGAAGACTTGCCTCCTGAACAGTGGTCTCACACAACAGTAAGAAATGCTCTGAAGGACTTATTGAAGGATATGAACCAGAGTTCATTGGCCAAGGAGTGTCCCCTTTCACAGGTACTTAGCATAACATGTAATAAATAATGAAGCACTGTAGGCAACACTAATTTGAGATTTCTATAGACTGTACCAAGTAGTATCTGAAAAGTGAATCTGACAAAATAAAATTAATTTGATCAGTTTGTAAGCTTTTAAAATATGCTGAATTCATCTTTTATATTGTCTTTCATCATTTCCCCAAGAGAAAATAGTGACTCTCTTCACTGCACTGGATGCACTAGGATAGTCTCAGATTAAACTGGATTTTTACTGATTTTTGTCTTCAGTCTTTTGAACTGCTTTGATGTAACTACTTTTTTCAAGCACGTGTTGAAGTTATTAAAAAGGTCTTTACTTACTGCTGTCAAAAGTACTACTGAATTTAAATGCTTGTTACATAACCTATAGTAGTTTTTAAATGCTAATTCATATGCAGTCTGTTTGCCTCACTGTATGGGCGAGGGGAAGAAATCCTCTTCGATGATATGGTGGTGATGGTTACAAACAACGAAAAAAAATTAGTCTGTTATTAGAACTAATCAAAATACATTTAACAAGGATGACATTTTATATTTACCCATTACTACGTACTGAATTGCTGCTTACCTTGAAGCTGCTTTGCATTGTTCTTTTGCCATTGATTTAAATTGACTTGTAGGAAAATTTATTCGTCTTTATTGTACGGTGTCTGGTGGTGAAGAGGGGGGAAACAACAGATTTATTGCTCCCTTTTAATTTTCAAATGTATTTTGTTGTGCTACAGGTGAGACTTCAGACAGAAATTCTGTTTATAAATCAGAGATATTGGTCAATGTGGGTGGAGGGAAGGAAGAAAGGTTGTTTTTAAAAGTGTTTACTTCCTTTTCTCAGAATTGTGGAGTTTTTGAGAAACAGGGCCCTTAATTCATTTAGACAAGATATCTATATATAGAATATTAGCAAAGACTGTTTTCCCATCACTCTTTTTTCCTATAGTAACATTGTCTTCAATGATGTGGCTCCGATATAGGAATTTTTGGAGTGGAAATAATCAAAATTATCTTCACTGGTTGCAAACCATTCTAGTAATATGTTTGCAAAGCTATCTTTTACGTACCTACTATACAAGCGTGCAAGCTCTTGCACTGCTGGCTCATAGAAACTGCAGATAATTTAGGATTCGCTCTACTTTGGTTCACCAGCTTCATATTTTAATTTGATACTGATGGAAAGCAAAGAAGATTGTCTGGAGACAGAATATTTAATTTACATTTTGGAACATTTTTATTGCAACTTGTCCGTGTGTGATACAATAATATAATATGAAGTAAAGTAGACATAAAAGGAAATACACATCGTAACATTTTTTGGGAGGATACTATAAATACTTCCTTCAACTAAATGTAGCAAATTCAGTGTCCTCTGAGTAACAATGATTTAGAAGAGTAATGTCAGGTAAAACATCACATTCAAAGGTCCTAAACAATGACAAATGGAATTATTAAAATAAAGAATTGCGAAACCCTAACTTTCCTCCTGATCATTATTTACTGTTTGCATTTCTTTCAGCTTGGAGAAAGAGATGTCTGCTCTTGGCTTCATTTTATTGCAGATTTTGCTTTCATTACCTTTTGATGTAGCCCAGTGTTGTAACATTTAGTTACAAAGATTGAAAACAAGCAGGTTTCTTTTTTGTTTTAAAAAATTGATTCCATTATAAGGTTTAAAAATATAAATATATAGTTTTGAGTCTTGTAAAAATGAGCTGTGATGGACTTTGAATCAGTCCTTTTAAAATTCCATGTAAATTTTCCATTCCTTTTGAGTAAGTTTTGAATCAGACTCTTGGTACCTAAATCTTTGACCTGCTCATTTCCCCTTAAATTGTCTAGAAATGGTTAAACATTCAGACTGGTATAATGAATTGTATATTACTTTCTTATGTAGGAAACACTGGTTTATGAGCAACATTGGACATTCACTGTTTCTTAAATCAATTGAAATTGGGAGTGCTTCAAAACTGATGTGTTTGCAGTCTGGAGATAAGAAAGAAGAGTGTAAAAAAGCTTAGAAACCTCCTCTCCCCTGGGATCAGCTCCATGTGAACAATGCAGAGGTATCTTCCCACTATATGCTTACTCTGGCATAGTGGAGATGTCTGTGGCATCAAAGCAAACAACCATATAGACAGCTAATTATAGCTTTTTAACACAATCATCTAGTTTATTAAAACAAAAATAACTCAAAAATAATCAGATTTTGTCTGTCAAGCTGTCCTTGCCAAGACACATTTTGTATAGGCATGGAAGCTTTTTTCATATACTATGTAAGATGTGAATATACAGCATTGCCAATGTACAATTTGAGAATTGAAAGCTTCAGAGAGTGATGTCCTTAACTAAAAGCTGTTTACTTCAGTCAGTCAATCTTAAGTATTTGTACATAATTTCATTCAGAATGCAAACTGTTCTTTGCTGCAAAAAACCCTTAACCAACTATATTTCTTAGAAAATGCTGACGTCGTTATGGACGGTTGATAATCTGAAGTCAAATATAAGCTGTGCTTGTGATGCAGTTTTACCCCCAAGTTATTAGGCTCTATTTCTTGATTCTTTTTCCTCTTTTTATTATCTTTTCTACTTTGCCATGGATTTGCTTGATCATTTGCTATAACTGAGGGCATCTAGGGATGAAGAGTTGCCCTCATGTTTCTTCGTACCTTCTTCCTGCATTTTCTACCACAAAATGACATAGTGACACTGTTGTTTTGGTGAAAAGGACGGAATGCATATCTGTTTCAAAGTTACTGTCACTATCTTGCTTTGAGAATGTTGTGACTTACTCCTGATTTCCCACTCTTCCAAGGAGGCCAAGTTTCACTTACTATACTGGCCTTGATTGTAAGGAATTTTCATTGACATAAATCATGTTTTGTGGGTGGATAGGATCTTGAACCTAAATTACTATTCAATTAAATACTTAAGAGATCAAGATAGTTCTCAAAATCTGGCCATAAGCAGGCAAGCAAAAAGAACAGCTACTAACTTCAGATGGTGAATTTTAAGCCACTGGGTATTTGCGTTCAGTTCCCTAGGTTCGTGAATGTCATTACCATAGACTATATTGTGACTTGTAAGCTACAGGCAGGTCTTATACCACTGCAGCATGGCTCACAAGCCCTCTGTGCTCCCCTCCCCCATACTCTGCCTAGCATCCTGGGAATGAGGACATGCTTCTAGATTGCAGGTGGATATAGTGAGATAGGCATTTCAGCAGTAAAGAAGGCTTCAGGGTATAAGCCCT